GGGGGGGGGGGGGGGGGGGGGAAAGAGGGGGTGAAGCTGAGCAGGAAAACATATACAAGTGATTTCCCATGGCGCTTCCATAAACCCGATTAGTTAATCGAAAAAAAGTTAGTGACCAGTTATTTCAGTGGGTGTTCCACAGATGTAGTAATTACCGTTTCACTACTTTGGATTTGTTTTGTAACCACGAATTTTTCTCCGAATATGCGCGAAACCTTATGGGGCCGGTACTGAGTCTTCTGCGCTAGCATTTGGGGAATTTGTTGTCTTCCAATAATCACAGGGGTGGGGTGTTTTATAGCTCACCGGAATCGGCCGACAATCTTTCGTAAAGTGGTGTGTTTTTTCCGCAGTCGATCATTCGTGACGTCATCACTAGGTCATTGGCGGCTATTTAGCAGCTGCCGCTTCCGCCCTGCTTCCATTGAAACTTGATGTTTACCTTTTTGTTTATTGCAACGTGGAACTACAGTGGAAGAAGCATTATCGATCGTTTACTACTACTATCTTTCTTACAGTATACGGTATAGCGATGCGTCTATGACTGTATTGTCGTGGTTGGTGTTGGTCGCGGCCCTAGGGCCATTACATGCCGACGACCCTGTACCATTGCATATCGGTGGCACATTCCCCATGGAAGCTGGTTCTGGGGGATGGGCCGGTGGCCAGGTACAGACCATGCCCATTTTACCCCCTTTGACGTAAACATACTAGTATTCACCTACTGGAAGTACTACTTTCAGGCATGCTTACCGGCTGTACAGATGGCTCTAGAGGATGTGAACAATCGAGAGGACGTACTGCCTGGTTACGTCCTTCACATGAACACCAGCAATTCCAAGGTGAATTTCCAACTACATACTGGATAACTTAAAATGAAAAGCCATTTTTCAGTGCCAAGCCGGATTGGCCACCCAGCAACTTTTCGATTTACTTTATACACCTCCAACTAAACTGATGTTACTAGCCGGATGTTCGCCAGTTACAACTGTGATAGCCGAGTCGGCACCTGTATGGAAGCTTGTCGTGGTATATTACTATTTCCTTTTATTTTGATACTTGGTGATATTTTGTGTTACTTATTGGTAAGCGGTGTCAATCTCTTGACTTCTGCTCAGTCTTGCAAGGTTTCCGAGAGCCTTCCGAGACTAACTTGTACTTTGTTGATTTCACCATTGTTTTTGATCGCCATGCTTCAGTTCTCCACTAACTGAATCGGACCCCGTCTGAGAGGCTGTCATGCCCTTAGCTGACGGACACTATTCAATAAAAGGACCTTCTCATTAGTTTTTTATAGAACACACTTTTTCAATAGGTCCTCCTCCTCCTGATACCTCCACTTCCATTCATTCTTGACCATATCCTCATCGGATTTACCAGTCTCACTTTTTCGGGAGAAACTGCATGTCTGGTGTTGATATGTCATTTCACAAATGTACATCAACACATTGACGTTACTTTTTTTCGAAGGCACACTGCAAACAAGTAAATGACTTACTTTACTGCTTTAGTGTTCGTTTGGGCGATGATTTATGTGATGTGTGTCGTTTATATACCACACATGCCACATTGACAAACGGATGGAGGTAGTGCAGTTAAAGCAGAAACGTGTAGTTACTTGACGAGCCATTCATGCAAACACCCCGCAGATCCTTTGTGTTGAGTTCGAGCTCTCGCACTCGCCACGTGTGAGCTGATCAAAAGCATCGCTGACGTTTCCTGTTTGGGTGGGTACCGATGAAACTGAGACTCATCTTCAGGGAACGCTCAAATTCATCCTATGGTAAGCGTTGAGCTGGAGCGAGTGGTACCGTAGTTGACAATTTGACTACTGTCCCAAACCCACTGGTTTGTTCCCTTCTGGGGACGATTGTCCATTGAAGAGGGAACAAATATCTTCAGAAGGGTATGCATGAACCCACAGTGCTTGGTGATCCTGTTAGCGAGCCGGGATTTCAAGGTGTTCGACTACTTGGCGCATAGTGGTCCAAGGAGCTTCGCGCATGGGTGGTCCAAGCTATTTCTTTACATCTGTAAAGTGGCGTTGGCAGTTTTGGATTTCAATAGTTGTCTGACTGAATTCCCTCCCCTCTCCCAACTACTTTATCCTTTTTGTGCCCCAATATTCGGTTTCTACCAACTTTCGTAACAAAGTAAAGTTTCCCATTTCCCATATATGAAACTGAGACAGAGCAGCAAAAATATTTCATTTTCCCGCATATGAAACTGAGACCAGCTGTACTTTGAGGAAATTGAAATATGGGAGGCAACGAAGGAAGTAATAATTGGGCAGTAATCTGTTTATCCACCTCCAGCCAGTGGACCCTGCAACTGAAGGTAACCAAAGGGAGGTCTGCTATCTGAAATCCGAAAAGGAATGTCTGGTTATCCAGAGATGAAAGAGATGAGTAGAAAACATGGTCCTATCAGAAAAATGGATCAGTCTCATGAGTCTTATGACCCACCTCGTTCTCTACTGAAACGTCATTCACTCCCATGAGGGCACCTTTTTACGTCTGTCTAGAGAGGGGTCTTTATTATACGCGGCATACGAGGCCTACTACGTCAATCGTGTAAGTGCTCAGTTGAGTAGCGGAATTCAATTTAATTGAAATTCTGAAGGATAGTTGTTATTCAAGACATGAATAATCTGATATCGGAGGCGCTTACATATCCAACTAGTAAACACAACTCTCCAATGGAAAACCATCCAGTACGTCAATATATACAACCCAAACTCGACATGGGGTCATTCCATAGCCAAGCGAACCTGCTGAACGAGGGTGTAGATTATCAAGGAAGCCAGGTCATTTGGGACAACTGTGTATCGAAAAAATTAATTACTTGGAAATTTGCCAACCTTTTTTATTCTGCCTTCCTACCCTTCTTGGTCGTTGGAGTCACCCGTTACTCCGAACATTTGCCATGAAGATACCTCATCAGTTGTGCCCATGTAACTCCCAGGTTTGCCAGCTGTTATCAAGAGGATGTGGGCCAATTTCCCCACCAATTTCTAGCCGATATATCCCGACCCAATTGATGAAATTGACCGCGGCTCGTTAAGCAATTACACAGCCCACCCAGCCTAAGTCGGTCGGCAATCGAGAGGTTTCGATTGTGTTCTATTGCGGAATAAATTAGAGGGTTAATCAACTTGAACGTGCCAGAACAATTTCATTGGACCTCCTTCAAATGTAAACAACACACCCTTTATATGTAAACAACAACTGGTACTACTATGGTAGCCAAATTCTAGTACCGTAATATTGTACCGCAATCCTATTACGTTCATAATCAACGCATTGAGATCTACACCACGCAGCTGGCTGGCTACTATTCCCCTGAGGTCTCCCCACTCTCGCACTCAATTTCATAACTCTAATTTCCTCATGTGGAGCTGAAGGATGAGCTGAGCAAAGCTATTCGAGTTACGCTACTACATAGGGATCTTCGAAAACTTTTTTTTATCCTGAAATATTATCATGTAAAAGTTGTTGAGCCAACCGCCGGCCGCTGATGACCCATACGTAGCTCATACTTATTTTTTTTCTCGTAAAAAACCCATTAAATTCAAAGTTTAGGCGGTTTGGGTGGGCCCAGGGCTTTATTGGATTTTATGGGTTACTGTAGATGTACTGAGAGCTCTGAAAGTGCGATAGCACGGTAATGTAATAGTGTATGAAAGGCAGTTACACATGTACTAAATCAAACTGATTGAATCCTATCTATTACTCCCCCCAGTTGTTTGTGTTTTCATATGTGAGCTGCCAAATCTGGCGGAGTTCCATGAGGAAATTGAATTTCAGCGCTGTTGAGCGCCCAAATCTGCTCCGTGGACTTTGCGATCTGTTGAGTTTTGGCGTGTTGAATTGTAAAACGGGGAAAAGAAGGCGATCAATGGAAAACTTGAAAGTTCAGTTGTTTAGCGATGGAACAACAAATTTTATTTTTCCCCTGGAAAAAGGGTTGACATGAGGCCTCCTAAGATTGACGTTGTCCAATGAACGATGTCATTCATTTCACAGTCGGTATTTTTCGGATTTCTTGGAAACACATCTTCAGAAATTTAAATTTTGCCTTAAATGGAAACGATACTTCAAGCTCAGCATCACTTTGGCTTTTTAAAAGCGCTGAAGCAGTCCTGGTGGAGTTTCACCTCCTGTTCGAGCTTTCTGGCTCTCCATTCGGCCCGTAGGACCTATGCATATAGTACTGGAGAACTGGTAATTGTTGAGTGGTCCTTGGATCTAAACTTGTTGGTATTCCGTTTGCAGCTGTCTTCATTTACACAATTCGCTGAAAAAAGTAACCCTCTACTGACAGCCAGGGCAGTGCTAGGC